ATTGTCTGCTCAAGTTTTCCTGTTGATGTCTGGACAGTTTGTGTTATTCACTAGGAAGCCTCCTAGGGCTGTGAAAACAGGGGATTTTGTCCATCTCTGGGGGGAATGAATGATTGCTTGTATGGCGACTGGGTCGGGCGTGGGAATTGCATTTCTTTCACCTTCTCTTCGGTAGTTGGACTCAGTTAGACATCTCGGAGTATATCCCGTGATGAGAGGAAGAGGTAGCCTGTTCAGTTCACTTGTCATAAACAAAGCAACAATTCAAATAGAATGTTGGCAAAGCTCGTAATTGAGTAGTCACTCCCCGGGCTTCTTTGCCCACCGACATCGCCTAATCAGCCGATACCGTCGTAAATATTCAATGAGGCCCGCGCGGCGCGCGACAGGAAATGTCGGTCTCGAATTGAGCTATTCTAGATGATTTGAGATCCACGCCGTCGACAGCACAATGAGGGTGACTACATGGACGAGGCCAATATCCATGGTTAATTCATTAGCGTGCAAATTGCTTTAACCAAATAAGTTGGATGAATGTAGTCGCTGGCGTCTAGTAGCTAGGATGTCACCTTGTGACCGTGACAATCCTGGATCAATTTATGATGACTCGTTTGCGAGGGCTTTCAGCAATATACACGTATCCTTGATATTACCCCGTATCTACCATGATGAGCTGATGAAATCGGCTACGCCTTCGCCTATTGGCGCCAATGTCACTGAGCAAGGAACAAGCATCAACTGGATAGCATATAGTATGTATTATCTGCCATAAATCTGCCTTGTCTATATAATGTACACAGTCGCTATCGTCTAGTGGTTAGGACGTCACGTTGTGGCCGTGACAACCCCGGTTCAAATCCGGGTAGTGACTATTAATATTCGAGGCTTTTCAGCGATCTACACGCAGCTTTGATATTACCCCGTATCTACCATGATTAGCTGATGAAATCGGCTACGTCTTCGCCTATTGGCGCCAATGTCACCGAGCAAGGAACAAGCATCAACTGGATAGCATATAGTATGTATTATCTGCCATAAATCTGCCTTGTCTAAATAGTATGCACAGTCGCTATCGTCTAGTGGTTAGGACGTCACGTTGTGGCCGTGACAACCCCGGTTCAAATCCGGGTAGTGACTGTTAATTCGCGAGGCTTTTCAGCGATCTACACGCAGCTTTGATATTACCCCGTATCTTCCATGATGAGCTCATGAAATCGGCTACGTCTTCGCCTATGGCTCCGGTGATCCTCTAACTATGTACACTTAACCAGGGGAACTTTGATAGAGTTAGTCGACTAGGTGGTGTGGAGAGGACCGAAGACTTGCAGGGCTCCCCCCTGAAGCTTCGGTCACGGGACAGTTGCCCGACTAGGTGGTGTCGTATCAACGACTCACGTCTCACACGGGTCTGTCCCGTCACCCAGTCCACTAAAGAAAACTGTCAGTTACTAATAACTTTCCTTCGGAATCCTCGGATTATTAAAGCACCTGCGAGCGACCAAGCTCGCTCGCCCATCGAATCACTTCCTCTGGAGTTGACCCTAGCCTCTGGCGAGACTTTCCATCTTCGCCTATTGGCGCCAATGTCACTGAGCAAGGAACAAACATCAACTGGATAGCATATAGTATGCATTATCTGCCATAAATCTGCCTTGTCTATATAATGTGTACAGTCGCTATCGTCTAGTGGTTAGGACGCCACGTTGTGGCCGTGACAACCCCGGTTCAAATCCGGGTAGTGACTGTTAATTTCGAGGCTTTTCAGCGATCTACACGCAGCTTTGATATTACCCCGTATCTACCATGATGAGCTGATGAAATCGGCTACGTCTTCGCCTATTGGCGCCAATGTCACTGAGCAAGGAACAAGCATCAACTGGATAGCATATAGTATGTATTATCTGCCATAAATCTGCCTTGTCTATATAGTGTGGACAGTCGCTATCGTCTAGTGGTTAGGACGTCACGTTGTGGCCGTGACAACCCCGGTTCAAATCCGGGTAGTGACTATTATTTCGCGAGGCTTGTCAGCGATCTACACGCAGCTTTGATATTACCCCGTATCTTCCATGATGAGCTCATGAAATCGGCTACGTCTTCGCCTATTGGCGCCAATGTCACCGAGCAAGGAACAAGCATCAACTGGATAGCATATAGTATGTATTATCTGCCATAAATCTGCCTTCTCTATATAATGTCCATAGTCGCTATCGTCTAATGGTTAGGACGTCACGTTGTGGCCGTGACAACCCCGGATCAAATCCGGGTAGTGACAATCACTGAACGACCATCGTTCCGTCAAGCTGGTAATCACCTGCTTTCGAACCCATGCGCAACTTCCAACACACATAACCTAGGATGTTCGAAACCATGCGAGAAGATCCGCCCACATTGCCAAATTACGAACCCATGTCATGCAGTGTCATGCATAGAGAAAAAATAAACATGAGGTTTGCGTTCTTACGAGGACCGCCACAACCACTCGGCCAAACATGAATGGAGATTAGAAGCATATGTTTTGTGCTATGCTAATCTCCTAGCTGTTTGCCCCCAGACTTTGCCCAATCAGCGGTAATGAGTTGCTTTCACTCAACAAAACACACAACCATATGTGGATAATCCTACTCTCTCTTTTTACGCAACTTCTTTAATATATTTTT